TACTGTTTTTTTGAGAATATTTTGTTTTGATTTTAGTGCATTTTGTTTTGTTTTTAGTGTATTTTGTTTGGAAGTCGGTTTTGTTTTTTTTTTGTGATAAATTAGGTTGTATCTATCATTAATCTGGTACGGACCTTCCTTTTTTGTACAGACTCATTAAAAAGATTCGTCTCAATACATACAAGGAGAACGTTAGTTATGAGTGTGGAAGGGTACATCGGTAGAGGTAGACCTAGAAAGAGATGGATGTATTGTGTAAAAGGTGACATGATCAAAAAGGGAGTGATGACTGAGATGACGTATGATAGAGTTATGTGGAGGACAAAAACCTGTTGCGCCGACCCTACGGGAGTAGGATAAGGAGATGATGATGATGATGATGATGATGACATACAAAACGTTCAAACGACTTAAAATAGATTTAATAACATAACCAGATTCCTTGATAGTATTTAAATTGGTATAAATATTTGGTACATCGTCTATATCAACATATTTTTGTCCTTATTAATATTCCTCCTCCAGATTTATCTATTGTTTTACTTTGTAACACATTTACTTACCAAAGAGGTCCAGAAGGAGCGGACCTGGTCATCCGGATACAAGAAGATGTCGAGCAGTGCCCAGGAGCCTCGCCACACGAACACCACCAGCGAACCCACCACCGTCACCGAAAAGATGCAGTCCAGCACGTACAGTGCCATCTCCCGACTCGTCTGCAAATAACATAAGCAATTACTTAAAGATTAGCACAATAGTGATATATGAAAAATGTCCATTCCAGTCGCAATACTGTAACACACTTTATTACCTCAGTCTTTACTCTATTTTTTAAAGGAGGGCACACAAATAATAGTCTAAAGTTATTTCAACAGATGCCCATAGCCATCCGTACAGAAGAACAGATGCCTTGTAAGCCTTTGAATACAAAAGTGGTTTCTCTACAAGCTTTTCTTGTGAGATTAGTGTATTCTAGTAATGACGCGTACTTGATCGGTACTGAAACACCTTAGTTAGCCAGCATCTATATCGTACGATTTTCTATATTAATCGTAATATATTTATAGTACTTACTTAAAAAATCTAATTCTCATTTTCCTTATGTGAAAAATTAATTTCTACATAAACCTTTGAACAGATAAGAATAAAATTCCTTGGAATTAAAGATTTCATATGGAATATTACTTTTTATATCCGATCAATAAAACTGCCAGAAATGGATTAATAAGAGATTTTTCAGGAAAAATAATTTGACGTTATCTTTTCAACAATTGATATATAAGACATCATTAAAGTAATTTCCCTGACTATCTTCAAAATAATTAACTGCATTAACATATTCCTAATCAATTAAGCTGAAGTAATCGCGATATTAATTAGTGTATAATCTAGATCTTGAGGAGGTATACGGAATTGATATTACTTATTTTGCGCAATATTTATTTTTAGACTTTATCACCGATACAATTATAATCATGATTTTGTTTAGAGAACTCTCAGAGGTCTTTAGCATTACCGATACCCTGCCCTCGACATCTCGCCCCTTAACTGCAATACAAAAATAATTAAATAACAACATGAAGGGACGCTTATGGAGCCCCTTTTTGTCGTCTCACCTCGCTATACCCTAACTCATATTTGACCATATCAGTTGTCTATTTCCTAGATCTTTTTATCCTTTCGCACTCGATTTCGCAAGTATTCGCAAAACAACGAACGTTTTTTTTATATTCTGTCAGTCTTCTCTACACGGCAAGAGACAATTACAATTTTAATAATAAATTGTTTTAAAAAACTTACAGGTTATCTTATTAAGTATATACTGGTATTACAAAATACATGTACCATCTAAAACGTACTGACCGACCCAACATGGTGTAATGTAACATGTTACACGGCGAGCATACATGCAGTTAGTGCGTACTGTTACGGGAAAACCAGCGAGCAATAAGACGCTCGATACGATAACGTAACGTCACTCTGTACGCCTTACAAAGACGATTAATGAATTGTTTTACTTAATGAAACGAGACTTACACTTAATGAATAATAGAGAAGTAACTGGTTTTTTTAACTAATTGCTACGAATTGAAGGTAAGTTATTCTAATTAGTTTCTTACAAACATTTAGCTTATCATATATTTGGCAAGACGAAGACGAGAAATAATTTGTTTAACAACAATCATGATAAAGGGACATGTGACCCTTATTTTTATCTTCAAAAAGCCCTTGATGAATGTATACGTGGATATTCAATATATTTTTAGATGTTTCGATTCCAAATGATTTTAAAAAATTATAGTCGGATGACCTTATTTACATTTTGACAAGTAAGACAACAATGTAAAGATATCGAACGTTTCGTAGTGACGACTAGAAATGTACCGAGCTAATGAGTTCCTGAGCGACTGATGATGACGACCAGAGGGTTTGTTAGTGACTGAGCGACTAAGAGGCGATGCACTCCTTGCAAAGACTTTTATGAAACTACCCCCATGATTGTAAAATACCCCCACCATTCCTTCCGTTTTCTAACATTTCCTAACAATACTTTTTTAACTTATTTTACATTGTTTTTATAATATGTTAAATAATGTTATCTGTCCAGCTGAATTATTGTTAAATGTCACATAATAATACATTCAATTTAATATCACGCACGTGCCTACCTGTATTACGGTTTCATTGTCTAATGATAACTTCGTGACACGTAAACCTTTTTCAAATACAATTTTTTATCTGTGTTTGTTTTTGTATGTTTCTCGATTTTTAGGTTAGATGCGTAGTATTGAGAATAGAAGATGTTATGATTTATAATTAACTCTATTTCATTTAAAATTAAAATTTTGTTAACATAGTTATTTGTGTTAATATTGTTGTTTTATGGAAATTGAATAGTAATATAAGATAAGGTTTAATTGTTGTTGAAGTGATAATTTTAATATATGTTGAGAAAAAACTATTAACATCACTATCTAAATGGTTCTATTTTAATTTGAATTTTAAGTTTTTATTTGCGAATATTTTGCATTTCAGAACATATAACCCATTCCAATGATTGGCTTATATTAACACAACCAATAAGAAAGAAGTACCCAGTTAACAATATCCGATTGGTTCATCCATCCATATAAACTTTTGCATTTATAATATTAGTGTGATCAAAAAGCAAGTTTAATTATCGTTAATGCACTTAAACATGTATTACAGATATTATGTACGTTATGCTGTTGGCCGCGTCTTTGTCCACGCAATATTAAGATATAAAAGTATGCTATAATATGACCGTCTATGTCAGCTATAATTCAAGGAAAGTCCGAACAAAATCTGCCTAATCGTTTCGGAGATTACCCGGAACAAACGCAGCTTGTGGTCAGACAGACAGACAGACAAAAAAAAAATTAAAATGCGATTTTCGTTATCAACAACGCAAATACATCATTTTCCCAAAATCTGGAATTTTTCTTTTGATGTTACAAAAAGACATTCCAATTTCATTATATGTATAATGTAAATGTTTTATTGTCCATAAAAGTTTGATTGACAAATCAATGGAAGATAAAATGTTTATCTTGCACACCAGAGGGCAAACAGTAAGGTGATTTGTTAACTTTATTTAATGCCACTGTGTTATTGTAAGCCGCCCAGATTTATGAGGCAATTGTGTATATATCCTATGTAATCCTATTTACTACTGCGTGATATCGTTCTCAGTAACTACTCCACACCGGACACATCTAGAAAACAACGTCAAACGAACTGTGTGATACATCGCTCTAATCATGGTGATATTTTTATAAGAATAAAGAAATGTGTTTTATGTTAATTATATAATGTCATGCATATATTGTGAAATTAAAAAAAATACTTTTATGAATTCTCATATTATAAATTTTACTTATCTAGTTCTCACATCTTGTTACTCGTAGCAATGTTGCTACGAACTAGCTACGCGCTAACTTACCAGTGTAAAATATTTTTTTTTTTAATTTAAACCGTAAATTTTTCAACGGAAACCTTTACTAAATACTAACCGTTCTAAACATGGTGGGAACATCGAAGTAATCCTGTGGTCCATCGACGGCGACGG